AACATAATAATAATAATAATAATAATAATAATAATAATAATAAAATCCTTTTTTAGCGAAAGCTAATTAAATTACATAAGCGGTATTGCTTAATATCAATAATTGCCACTTAACTCTAAATACAGCTTTTTGCCATTTTTATATTTTTTGGAAGATCATTATACAGCTTTAAGTAGCCCCTTATGAAACAAACCTTTTTGTGATTTGGATCTTGAAATATCAAAGTTTTCTTTCGAACGAATATCATATATCATGAATAACTGCCCTTTTAATTAAAAATTTATTTAAATACTCTGGCAATAACTTATGATCAATTTCATAAATTAAAATTAAACACGATTGTTCAATAAACTGATCTATAGAAAGCCATTGCAGCTGAATTATCATATAAACTAAAGGTGTGTATTTACTACATGAAAGAATTATGCTCATTTTGTAAAATCTGAAACCTGTTGACTTCATTTTTGCTGCACGATATTAACAGAGATGAACAATATGTTATATGAGGATAAATAATCGTATTATACAGGGTGTCCCCAGTTCGAGTTGCCTGTACCTGAAATAGATAAAAAAATTTCAATTGTCAAAAAAAATCATTCTTCATAAAAATTTTTGCTTGTCCAGAAACCCTTGGCAAGATAGCCTAATTTGTTCAATTTAATGTACAGGGTGTTCAAAAATTTGAAAAAGGCGAAATCAGTAAAGAGTAAAGTACCTTAAATCTTAATGCTACGTGAAATAGTAATAGGGAAAAGTTGCTTGGAATTAAATTTTATGTTTAAATATGGAAGCAAGGCCTTCTAGTTATTACTCGACATTCTGGGATATTCTAGGACTTTACTTATTTTTTAATACTTTCGAAGAACGTTTTTCTGGCCAGAATTAGAAGAAGAACATTTGGAATATAGACAAAAAGCGTATTTCCAACAAGACGGATGTCCCGCTCACTCAACAATTCAAGTCCGCAATTGGCTTAACAGAAAATTTCAAGGGAAGTGGATAGGAATATACAGTCCTATTTGTCGGCCAGCAAGGTCTCCTGACTTGTCGCCGCTTGATTATTTCCTTTGGAGCTTCTTGAAAGAAAGGGTGTATAGAGAAGAGAATCAGTGCAACACTGTCGATTTCTTGAAAAGCAGGATAATTGAAGCTGTTGCCCAAGTAAATGAAAAAATGATACATTCGACCTACGCTGCATTTAGAAAAAGATTGGAGAGGTGTGTTGAACTTGGCGGACTTCATGTAGAATAGTTTTGTAATGGCGCGTACATACTGATTCTGCTGTGTTCTCAAAATAAATGTTGGATTAATGTTGTTGAGGTTTTTGATCCCCCTGTATAAAAAATAAATTATTAATATGCAAAAATGTGTATCTGTTTTTCAATAAAGCAATAGTTTTTTAAATAAAATGGCTTCTCTGAAAGTATTAAAAAATAAGAAGAGTCCTAGGATATCCCAGAATGTCCAGTATTAACTAGAAGTCCATGCCTTCATATTTAAACATAAAATTTAATTCCAAGCAACTTTTCCCCATTACCTTTTCACGTAGCGTTAAGATTTAAGGTACTTTACTCTTTACTGCTTTTACATTTTCCAAATTTTTGAACACCCTGTACATTAAATTGAACAAATGACTATCTTGCCAAGGTCTTCTGGACAAGCAAAAATTTTTATGAAGAATTATTCTTTTGACAATTGAAATTTTGTATCCATTTCAGGTATAGGCAACCCGAACTGGGGACACCCTGTATATTAATAATTTATATCAGCGTAATACACGTTCTGATATTCGACCAAAAAAACTAATATTTTTAGCAATGTTTTTGCATATATAAACTACATGTTTACCAAAGTTTAATCGATCTAATACAACACCAAGGTATTTAATCTCCGAGACCATTTCAATCTTTACACCATTGATATCGACCCCAGATTACTCGGTGCATAATTTTGACACTTTTGTTTTGTACCTAAATCATACATTTAGTCTTTGAAGCATTTAATTTAAGTTTATTATTGAACAATTATAAATTGCCAAACTCATTATTCATTACATTAGTTACTTCTGTCTGATCATACCCTCAAACCGATATCAATGTGTCATCTGCAAGTAAATTATATCGTTCATATAAATAATGAATAATAATGGTCCGAGGACACTTCCCTGGAGGACCCCAATATCGCTTGTAACTTTCTTTGACCTTTTACCTTTAATCTCTGTCCAATGGTAACGATTACACAAATAACTATGCAGCCATTCTAATTCTTTGCCTTTAATACCCACTGCAACAAGTTTCGTAAATAACTTCACACGATCAATTGTCTCCATGGCGCGTTGTAAGTCCACTCAAGATTACACTACATTGTCCTTCATATTTTTGTCTTATCTGATCCAAATATGCATAACTATAAATTAATTTATACGTTCCTATGAACGCGAAAACTCATACCAGCAACGCAAAATGTAATACTTTTGTCGTATAGGATATTTTTTTTGACAGCAAAAGCTACTATAACTTCTTAAAAATAAATTTTGGGTCCTAGGTGCCTTAAAACTTATTTCAATCTAGGTTCCACTGATACAAATGGTAGTAAAATTTTATCCAGCTTTCCATTTGATAGGAAGTGCTTTATACTTCATTTTTTTTTGGAACAGCCGATTTTTAATTTATATTTTTAAAAATCATTGTTTCAATCTTAAAGTAAATTGCACGTTCTTTTTTATTAGGTTTTATTTATTTTTTCTTCTGGCTTTAACAAAAATAACACCTCAATTTGTTCGAGAGATATTGAAGGCTTTGGTGGTAAAATTCATGAGATTAGGTGTCAAAGGTATTAATCCTTTAAGCCAGCGGTATTCAAACTGTGTTCAGCGGAACCCTGGGCTTCTCCAGAACATTTTCGATACAACAAAATTAAAAAAATGTATACTATTAGTTACTTAAAACTTTTTATTTTTATACGTACACGCGTATAAGTTACTATAAAAGCTTAACAAGAAAGAATTTTCTTTTCTATTTATGCAAGTGCAAGCAAGACGGCTTATAACTTACAAGCTGGGCAACTATTTACTCTTTTTTTTCAATTATCCAATAAATTTTTACTTTAAACTTTAAGGTTAGTTTAATTTTTACTTAGTGGAATATTTATTTTGTTAATCGTAGTATTTATAACCATATAATCAGTAAAAAATGTGTTCGAAAATTTTTTTAGGTGTTCCTCAAAAAAATCGAAATGTTGACCGCTGCCCTAAAGTAATCGAAATAGGTCTCTCGAAACTATTTAATTTTCTTAGAGCACAGTATAACAATTACTTCCTTTAAAATATCTTCAGTTCAATAAAACCGAATATTTTGTTTCAGGCAACTATGCTTGTTGTTCCCTTCAGAATACTCTTTCCTCTTTTGGTATACCATATCCATTTTGTGAATGTCGGCAAAATTGGGGAAGTGAGAGAAAAGGAGTACTTACTGAAAGATATGCGATTCGTCAAAAATAAAATAGAAGAATCTGATCCTAGTCTTCATACTGAGGTTATTCAAAAAGAGGAAGATTTTGTATTTAGTGGAGATGATAGCGACTACATTGAATCCAGTGGATATGATACTGACTATAGCGAATTCAGTGGAGATGATATTGATACCATTGAACTCTTTGGAAATAAAGATTATGACGGAATTATTGGAGATATTGATTATCGTTTCAATGATAACGACAGTGGTTATAATGTGACTACAGAAAATGATCCTTTTACCATTGATATAACAATGGAGAAACCAACTAGTTGCAATTCGAAATATAATGATTCCGCTTCGGTTAATGCGGACCTTATTGAAATGCTAAGAAAGCAACAGAAGAAATGTGTTTTGTATCAAAATAATGACACTTCTAATTTTATTATATATTGTTGAGAGTGAGTTTTGAATAGTGGTCTGTGTGATGTCTGAAATAGTTGCATTGAAAATGCACTGTGAAATGTAAAATAATGTGATGCATATTGGTTTCGAAATGCAGATAGTTAATTTGTTTAGTTATAAGTTCATGTACTTAAAATTACTTTTTCAACAAGATAGTATAAAGTTTTTCACGTTCATTCTATTTACTAGAATTATTTAGAATTCATATACCACATACCTAGAACAAAATCGCCCAAAACTATATTTTCTACATCCTATTTTGTTTGGCACCATGAATTAGAATTTCTGTATTTCTATTATAGATTGCCGACTATTGAATGTGGCATATTGAATTAGAACCAGAAATATAAGAATTTTTAAATTATACTTAGCTATTTAACAGTTTTGTAGAATATGACACAATTAATGACATTTTCTATGTCTCTACCAAAAAGCCTAAAGCCACTAGTTTCAAGGTACAGGTATCAGGAAGTTTAAAGAATATATTACAATTATAATGATAAGAAGAAGTTTAACTAATGTCGATAAAAGATAAATGAAATAATTCATAAATGGCTCAGATATTGGGTCTCTATTTTACTCTTAAAGGTATTAAGTTAATTCAAACAAAATTAATTAAAAAAGAGTCTTATCAAATGAAGTCAGTGTTCCTCAATATCAGAATTCTAATTAGAGATATCTAACCCACAGACAATACTTGTAGCATCTTTTGAATCAATAATATTATTATTTGATTATTACCAGAACTTCAAGAGAATCATTAATTTCCAAGTAAAAGTTAACTTATTAGGCTTTCTTCAATTTCTTGAGCAAGATTTTTATTTGACCTTTAGCCTTAAAAAGGAATATGTGATTGCAATTAGATGGGGCTCCTGCTCATTCTAGTATAGTAGTTTAAAACTGGTTAAATGTCAACTACCCTAACAGATGAATGAGCAAACAGGGCCCTATTCCATGTGAAGCGAGAGCGCCTCCCTGAACTTCTCCTTACGGAGCATAATTAAAAATTATGTGTATGAAATCCAAGAGGAACAATTAATACGTCACATAAGAATTAAATTGCACACAATTAAATATTTTAACACCCTACAGAGCATGTATTGAAGCAAATGTGCCCATTTTGAACACCTATTTGTACTCAATACTGTTAGTAGTAGCAACAATCATTTATTAGTTACTTAATTATTGTTAATTTAATTTGCAGCATTGAATTATTATGTAATTTTGTTATTAACCTTTTAGTTAAATTTTCGTGTATTTTATCTTCTGTAAGTCGTTTCCTACATTTATTTTTGCTTTAAATTTTATTTACTGAAACGTTTGATTGCATATTCACGACGATAGATAAATACGATCTAAGAAAAAAATTAAATACAAATTTTTGGTTTCTGAATTACAAGCTTTAAAATTTGTCAAAAATAAAACTAATTTAATTAATACCTTCATAACTCTTTTACCGATCGCGTTAAAATTTGGCACATTTATTTGAACTATTATGGCGTATTATTTCTTAAAGCTTTAGTCAAATCGATATACTGGGTGATAGTTTTCTCCGGTTATCTCTCCCTTTTAGCGGTTAAAGCTTTTACAGTTGTCGTATTTTTTTAACACGGGCAGCAACATTGAATAGGAAGTTATTAATTAAATTAGTTTTATTTTTGATAACTTTGAAGGCCTGTATAACCAAAGTTTTTATTTAAACTTTTTTGGTAGATCGTATTTATTTCTCGTCGTGAATATAGTCAAACATTGTCTGTGAAATTTGCGAACACTCTTATAGAAATCATCAGAAGTCTGATAAAATCATTAGGGTAGGAATTTTATTTTATTTTGTGAATCCATTCGCTAGTCTTATAATAAAAAAATCTATGGTAAAGGTTTTGATTGACTTTTTCGATGATTTCATTATTTTTAAAATAGTATGTATTTAGACAAAACACAGCTAAATATTTTTAAGTGAAATAGGTAATTTCACAGTTAGTTTACATTTATTTAACAGTGTGATAAGCACTTAATTAATGAAAAACAAATAATGGCTCTGTTTTTGGAAAAAACGGACCTTTTTCTCAAAAATAGAACTTTTCATCGAATATTTCTCAATAGTGTCGAAATTATAGGATTTTTAATGGCTGTACCCAAACCATCTTCGTTACTAGTTGATTATTTAATTACTTAGATGAATTACTATGATCATGCACTGAAATGAAATAAATTATTAGATGATGAGTTTCATCTAATTAGTAGCAGTAAATTCGATCAATTTTTTTTATTTCAACATCTTGTACCCCGAAAAACATTGGTTTTAGACTCTTGGTCTTCTGGTCTAAAATAATCTAGGGAACAACATTCTGAATATTGGTTAAGAAAATACCACCTATCAGAACTAAGTTTCTCCAATAGGTTCAATGCAACGCAATACAGACATGTACAGTAATGCTGGCAAATTCAGGAACAGGGAACAGAGAACAATGAACAATGACTGATACGACGTGTGTTATTTAATTTTAATACCTTTGCTTCCTTCCACCTTTGAAGATGCCATTGTAAATCGTGATAAGAGAATAATATACATATTCATACGTTCACAAGAAAACTTAATCCCGGCAAAAATAATCCGTATTTACTTTCCTTTGAACGTGCCAAATTTAGTTATTTTTTAGCGGTAAGTTAGTAGGTGCGAGTAGTAGGTATTAAAAATATGATGTATCTGCGTACTCTTTCAGAGAATAATGGTGTACTGGATACTAAACTTAATATTTGTCATTACCTTGCATAGCTGTGTTGCCTCCAAATATTATTACAAAGAAAAGAATGGAAACTATGATGTGTACTACGGTCCCTATGCCCAGTGGGGTTATAAGGAATTTAGACCTCCAAAGTCTTATAAAGTTGGATATGATGATAGAGGGGGTGAGTATTTTTAATATACCGTTTAAAAATAACGCATAGTAATATTCTTTAGTTTTTGACTAATGAAATTTTGCATTATGTACATTTGATATTAAATATTAGATAATGCAGATATGTAGAAAAAAGTGAATTTCCTAAAACAGCTTTTAATTAATTGATGGTGTAGTCTCTTGGATGAATCTATTCTCTTTCTATTTTTTATTTATCGGGATATACATCAAAATCAAATCTTTGTATGTATATTTTTCAATTTTCACTGGATCCTAAATTAATTATTAATATATGTTATATTTTTAAATTATTTTAACTGATCGGCAATGAATGACATAACTTCAAAGCCACTTTGAATTTTTTGGTTTTATATTTTACAAATTTGTGTAGCCTGTTTTTGATATGTTGCAACACAACTTTATACAGGGTGTCTGGTATGTATATGGCATACTCTCGGGAGTGTATAGAGGAGGTCAAAATAACCCTAGTTGTCATAAAAAAAATCCTAAAGTGCCCCTTAACGGAAATATAGGGCCTCAAAGGGGTACCCAACGATTTACCTTTTCGGTTCTAACTTTTGAACCGACTTGTATAATTCAATGAATTTTTAATATTTTATGTAGACCACAAAGGCTCATAAAGCTATACTACAGTAGATGCTTTATACTGCCAGAGAAGTCAGGAACGGACTTGCCACCACACTCGTTGGGCCAAAATTTTGACAGGTGTCATTTTATAGAGCTGAAAACTGAATTTTTAAATGCTTTGGTCATTCGTCTTTAAAAAAGGTACACTATCTTTGTTTCGATAAAATTAGCCGTTTTCGAACAAATTCAGTTTTTGTTTATCACGTCATTGAAATAATAAATCAGATTTCTGCAATAAAACACTAGTAGTTTTTATGTTGTTATTGACAACACTTGTAAAAATTGATTGATTGAGTACACAAGACTAAATAATGGAGCATTATTCCTATAACGAATATGCTGGCATGCATCTAATTTATGGGCAAACACTGGTCAATTGTGTGGAGGCAAGAATAATTTATTCTGATTCATTTCTAAATCAACGTTTACAGCACCAAGCAATTTCTGAAAGGATTGATCGTAGTTTACGGGAAAGAGGTAAAGAGTCAAGTGAAATAAAAAAATGCTAAAAGTAGCTGATCTTTGCTAATACATTTTAAGAAGTTTTTTGCCGCATCGTGGTAGAGAAGGGCCTTCAAGGAGAGCAAAGAATCTTCAATTAGAGGATTAAATTCTGGATGAGATTACTGAAAATCCCTCCAATAGTGTAAGACAGCTGTCGGTCCAAATACATGCGACAAAGTGGACCGTTCATGAGACCCTTCCTGAACAACTGCTACATCCTTATCACGTCCAAAAGGCAGGCCCGGATCCAGAGGGGGTGGCGATGTGGCGATCGCCACCCCCAAAGCACAACATTTTTTAAAGATCTTCAATTTCTCCAAACGACAACAGGCAGTTAGTCGATATTAATGCAAGTCCCCCTTCCTAACCTACACCTTACGTCATCAAAAAAATAACAACAACAATAATAATAATAATAATAATAATAATGATAATGATAAAGAAGTGCTTTGCGCCTCCCCCAAAACCAGTCTCTGGATCCGGGCCTGCCAAAAGGTACATGAAATGTCTCCCGCTGATTATCCTGTAAGAGTCAATTATGCAAATTGGTTTTTGCAACGAGTTAAGCAAAATACAAATTTTATTAGTATTGTTTTGTTCACTGACGAAGCCAGTTTCAATCGAGACGAAGTAATGAATTGCCCTAATTCGCATATCTGACATGAAGAAAATCCCCATGCAATAGTACAGACAAAACACCAACACAACAACATATGGGCGGAGATTATTGGAAATCATCTCATTGGATCGTTCTTTTTTGAAGACATTAAATGGTGCCATGTATTTTCAATTCTTGCAACAAAGCTTAAATGATTTATTAGAAAATGTGCCCTTATTAGATTAAATTAGAAATCAGATGTAGTTTATACACGACGTGCATAGCCCCATTTTAGCAATTTAGTTTAGTCGCACTTATCAAATACTTTTGGTTATCAATAGATAGGTCGAGATGAGCCTATTTTATGGCCACCGAAGTCGCCCGACATGACTCCATTGGATTTCTTTTTATGGGGAAATTTAAAGAGGCTTGTGTATTTGACGCCAGCTCACACCAGGAAAAACCTGTTAGAAAAAGTAATACACCTTTGCAACGAAATTTGAGAAATTTTTTTTGGAATATTGTTTCCAGTACAACGAGAAAACATCTATCGGATAAGGAAATGTAAAATGGCGACCATTTTGGAAATCCGCTGCAGTACAAAGCTTTCAAATTTTTTACAGCATTGCGTTTAAGTGATTTGGAAATGTATCAGAATAAATTCTTCTTGCCTGCCGGGTGCTTGTCCATAAGTTAGATGCATGTAAGCATTAATGAGATGTAATAATAATGCCAAATTTTATTATTTTAATACGAATTATTAGTTGTGCTGTGATTCCATTGCGTGTTTAAATAGCTTATGTTAATTAACTTTAGAAATAAATAGATTAATGTTTAAACTAAATTTTTTCGAAAACGGTTATTTTATCAAAACAAATGTCGAGTACATTTTTAAAGAGGAGTAACCAAAGAATTTAAAAATTCAGTTTTCAGCTCTATAAAGTGACACCTCTCAAAATTTCGGCTCCACGAATGTGGCGGCAAGTCCGTTCCAAATATTAAAATTTTATTAAATTATAGAAGTCGGTTCGAAAGTTAGAACCAAAAAGGTAAATCGCTGGGGCTCAGTATCTCCGTTAAGGGGCACTTTAGGAAAAAAAAATTATGACAAGCTAGGGTTATTTTGACCTCCCCTATACACTCCCCAGAGTATGCCATATACTTATCAGACAACCTGTATAATAATTTCAGTAAGAGAGATTTTTCGTTTAGGATAATTGGAAAGTATTTATTTTTAGGCAATTGTTTATTAGCTTATCAATGTAGACTTTTTTTAGCATATTTATATATTCGGTATTTACAGGATGTTTCAGGATTCAAATTTCACTTATGCTAATGATTTATCTAACTAAAGTTAAAAATTTATTCAATTCGAATATAAAGTCAATCAGTATCACTTTTAGTGACATTTCTAAGAAAAAGAATCATGGAACAAACCAACAACCAATTTTCGGGTTATTAACTGTTTTAGTTTATATTTTGTAAACAACTGCCATCTGATATATCTAAGAGAAAGTTTTCTTGACCTTCCTATGATTACATTCTATCCAAAAGGGCATTTCTAGTGAAAAATTCTGACTTTTTGTGATCTGAATATTTTAAGTTTATTGATATGCTTGATTACAGTAGTTAAGCGCTACAGTTTTTTCTTAGATAAAGTACTAAAAGTTTAGAGCAATGACAGAATTTCTGAAACGGCCAGAGGAATCGAATTTCTTGGCTTCTTAGTGATAAATTCTCAGCCACTGGTTGGTGCATTAACAACGAAATTAGGTGTTTTTTCTATGTTTAATTAAATAAATCGTAAATCCAAGTTTTTCACTTTAGTTTTGTTTTTTAATTTCAGAGCGCCCTTTATCTGGAAAACGAAACGTTTCCGTATATTCCGTCACAACACTTTTGGTTTATATTGACTACTAATATTTTTAAATTTTATCAGTTAATTCTGTAACACACTGTATAACTTCATTTGAAGAGAATTTACAAAAATTTTTGAATCCATTACTTAAGAAACCTTAGTAACGCAAAAATTAAAGTAATACGCTTGAAATTTTTGAATAAAAAAATTTAAAAAAGGTATCATTGAAACACGAATCACTGGTTCGTTCAATTTATTACCCACAACTAGATAAGAATTTCTCTGCTAATAAATAAATATTTTTCAATAAAACATAAATTGATAACTATTTCAAAACACCTATACCCAACAGAAAACTTCGAATAATATTTATTACAGTTACGGTGATCATGCCTGTATTACTATTTTAAATAATACCTAGCATTTAAACAGAGATAAAGATTCTCAGGAAGAGGTATTAAGAATATTTACTGTATCATGAGTCATGAATGAGTTTAATGCCAAATAATCAAATGTTTGCGATTGTATGAGTTTCCGCTATGAATTACTTTATTATTAGTTACTCTTATCATATTTTATCGTGATGCCAAGGCTGTTTTATCAAAGATAAATATAGATACTTTTCTTAATGAATACAATTACATATGCTTCACACGACAATTAATTCTATTAGGTGTCTTATTGGCTAGAAAAAGTTTACTAAATTCTACTGGAAAAAATAAGAACATAGTAGGTACTAATAAAAACAGGGCGTAAAACACTTTCTAACTGACGTATAGTTAAGGGTAGTCTGTAGCCTAGAATACAACCGGGAAATAAAGCAAATTTTATCAATATTCTCTAAAATTTTATTTTTTAAAAGAGTTTATTACTGAACATCAAGATAACCATATTGAAGGTCCTTCATACATACATATATCACAATGTGTTAAAATAAATAATTCTTCATCTTTCTCCAAAGCTGTTACGTCAGGTGTACCACAGGGTTTTACCCACTTTTATTTATACGTGATATTAAACGTGGCTTAATATAATTTATATGTAATATTAAATGTTTACCCTAAATAGTATCTTTATGTTGGCGTTATAAAAACGTGTTGTGAAATTTCTAGTTTATATGATTTTTTAAATAGTTTATCATGATTATACGCTTATTGTGTAAAGCTAAGGTATAAAGAATAAACTAGTTTTAAATATAGACAAATACCACAGTTTTACTTTCTCTAGGTTATCTATAAACGGTATATAAGAGTCTTCATATTTTATTACAGGGTGAAGTTTAACAAGGTCAGTTCAGTAAAATATCTGGGTGTGCTATTTAGACATTAAATTAACCTTTTCATTTACAGAAGCTAGGAAGAATTACCGTAATTTAGGTCTCATAACATGTACGGAGAATAAT